CTGGGCATGATTTTCCCAGCTCTTCCCTGTAAAGGACTGCTTTGTGGGATGGGGCCGTGGGAGCATCCAGTGGTTTTACTTCCTTGTATTTAGACCAGATGGCTTTTGTAAGAAGGGGACGTGTCCCCGGACACCCCTGCACTGGGGACAACCGTCGGGAGCTGGGGTCCCACTTGCTCCCAGCCGGCGCAGGCTGCTTTGGGGAGACATTTGGGTGTTTTCTGCTCAGCATCTGCTCCCAGATAAGATCCCCTCTCCCGATCCCTTGGCACCACCAACAGAAAAGGCTCTATACTGGCTGTGCCTCTGCTGGCTCAGTGGCTGAGTTTAATTGAGGAGCCAGAAAAATCCAAATAAATAGATAGCTCTGGCCGATCAAAGAGGTTTTCATGAGGATCAAAAGTGGCTGTGTGCCTCTCTGGGGACCTGGGATGGAGAACCCCAGTCTCCTGGGGCCTCGCCTGCCCTACACCAATCACCACCTGAAAGGGAAAGTGCCCACCTCTAATTTGGAGATTTATATTTAACTGCCTGGAGCACAGCAGTGGTGGTGTGGCCGCCTTACAGGGAGGCTTTTGAGCTTTTCTTGTTGGAGAAAAGGGAAGAGAGGGAGAGTGTTGGGACCCTTTCAAACCTCTCTCGATGGTCCTGACACCGGCAGTGGGGGCAGCCAGTCCTGGTTGGCACCAATGGGAGCTCATCTGGAACGGGCACCACTTGCTGCCACCCTGGGACCTAGAGTCCCATGTCCCAGATTCTTGGGGACTCTGCTGGTGACAGGCTGGGGGTTGTGCCCCAGAGCAGGGCACTGGGGCTCAGCAGGGCGGTTTCTCTGTGATGGCAGCAAACCCAAAGTGCTTCCCTCACCTCCTGCAGAGCCACGGTTCTTGGGATCTCTATAGAGAGCAAGATCTGGTTTCTCCTTCCCCAAAGTCCTTCACAGATGAGGAGACCATACAGGAGTAAAAGACTCGCATGATTGTCACTCTTTTGCGCCTCCTCCCCCTCCCAAGTCCTTGAATTGGTGTAGGAATCACCTGCCCTTGTGGCTCAGGATCCCTCAGTCCCTGTCGCTTTTCCTATCAATGCAGGGACAGGATTTCTGTGGGGCAGAAGGTGGCCGTGAGGCTCCCTGCTCCTGCAGGACCCAGTGGTGCCTCCATGGTTTGCAGAGTCAGATCTATGGGAAATATCCCAGATACTATTTTGTAACAAAATAAAAATTGCCCCTTACGCTGGTGAGAGCTTGGAAATGGTGTCCACTGAAGGAAAGAAGAATAAGCTTCTGCGCTGTTGTGCAACATCTCACTGACATACCCAGACATACTCGAGCTATCCAACCCTACACCTCTTACTAAAATACAGACCTCGCCCCTCAGCCCCAGGACAGTGTCTTCGGCCTGGGCTGAAATAAAGTGCAATGGCCCAAGGAGGGTAACGGGAGCGAGTGTCTCTGGGTGGCTCCTGTCTGTGGCAGACAGAGCCTGATAAGCGTGGAACTCATCTGTGCCAGCTAGTTACAGCCCTGCCTATACAAATTTTTAAAAATTGTATCAGTAATTCCCTGCCCATAGCTTCTCTCTGTCCTTCAGGCTGGGTATTTTATCATGTCTTGTCCTTGGGGTGGTGGATGAGCTGGGCTGGGAGCAAGGCTGGTGTGTCAGGACGGGATCGGTGCAACCGAGGTTGCTATACAGGGGTGATGAGGTTGCTATACAGGGGTGATGCCGTTGTTCCAGCTACAGTGCCAGGTACTGCTGAGAGGTTTTATAAGTTGCTTGGCTGTGCAGGGGTTAAAGTTCTATCAGCCAGAAGGCTTTGTAAGAACAGCCTTGGAACTGTATGGCCAGGACTGGAGAGGGTTAAGGGAATGGTGAGATCTAATCAGGACTGCTCCCTCATCAGTCTCAGATGAGTGGCCACATATAAAACAGGATGGGGAATATCTGTCCATTTGCCTGTAATTACTTATTTCCACGCTCTTGCTCTCACAATCCATGCTAGCGATCACAGTTTTCCCACGTAAAATGCCACGAGGCTGAAAAGTTCTTTGTGCTTGAGGGTGAAGTCAAAGACAGGAGCTCCCAAAATCGCCCAGTTCCCCCAGTTCCCATTTGGGGGTCCTGTGTTTCAGGGTGGCCAGAGTCCCCCGGGAACAATGATTGTCCCCTGCCCTGGGGAGCCCAAGAGGCATTGGAGTGCCCCACCAGGCAGGTGCCATGGTGCAGCCCGTGCCCCAAAACCCCAGAAGCTTCCTGGTGGTGCCGATCACAATCCAGCCCCTGGGGGCAGGAGAGTTTCAAGGCTTTTGTTTGTTTGTTTGTTTTTATTTTTTTCAACTATTTGAAAATTACTTCGGTTATATGTTTCAGATTTCAGCCCCAAGCTCCTTTTTGGGATTATTCCAAAGTGAAAGTGCCATCTGCCTGCTAGATATTATTTTGGATCTTTTTGGCGCTAGCAGGGAGTGAGTGACTGAGGGCTGTCCCTGATGGGTGGCACCCAGGCTGGGACAGGCACAGGGGAGCTGTGACACCAGTGCCATACTTATCTCCTTTGGCTCTGCAGCCATGGGCCCTTTCACCCACCGGGAGAGAAAGACGCTACAGGGGCTGCCACATATGTCCCCTCTGTGTGAGAGCAGCACCCTTGGGAAGCTCTGGGATTCCCAGTGGTACGTGGAGCCCATCTGCTGTCCCTGTGCCTGGTGCTTGTTTGCAGCGGGAGATGGCCCAAGGCAGCTGGAGCAAGCAGGACTGTGGCAGGAGGAAATTGGTGCAGATGTGCCGGCTGGAGAGGGGAGCTGGGGAGGGCAACACAGTGCAGATGGGCAGGGTGAGCACCTCATTTCCTCCATGGCAGCAGGGCAGGGGACTTGAACTGTGTGGAAAAGCAGGTTGCAGGGAGTATTTGGTGCATCAGTAAGCTCTGGGTGCAGCCTTCCTGCTGTCCAAGGAGTCCCCTGGGCAAGATCCAGAGCTTGTCTCACAAGCCAGCGGCTTCCCCGAGGTGATGGGTCTGCAGTGGGGGAGAGCAGGAGTAAAGGACTGGGTTTGATCTATCACCCCCATCCGCAGCACACTCTGGACATACTGAAAACTGGTTTGCTGCAGGCAGGGAAAATCTGCCGCCAAATCCGCAGTGCGTTGGGTGCTCCTTATCACCGCAAAGCGGAGCACTGGGCCCCAAGGGCTGGGGCTGCCCCCAGAATTGCTGATTCCCAAAGTCAGTTGCAGGGTTAGGGGCAGCTTTTACATGCTGAACCTTGAAGTTCGTCTCAAATGGCAATTTTTTTTTTTTTTGTCCTTATCTGCCGTTTTGAAATGAAATGGCAATGCCTGTTTTGTGTCGACTCCTGTGGTCTTCCTGTTTCCGGCTTCTCAGTGTTGTGTAACCTGTGATGCCAGTCTAGAGCCATGATAGAGAGTCAATGATTCAGTGGATCGATCCCTTCTGCTCTTGTTCTAAACTGCAATTTTCAGATGGCTGTAACAAGGGTTTTCCTTGGGACTTCCCTCTGAAAACAGTTGCTTTGCCGAAGCTCTCTCTAACTTCATCTCTCTCTCTCTCTCTCTCTCAACCCATTTTCTTCTTTCCTGTGAATGCTTACCAGTTCTTTGTGACACCATAGCCACCTGCCATGTGCCCTGTGCCTGTCTCTCTGGTGAAGTGTGGCCCCAGAACCACCCCACAAGCATGCATGGGGGTGTCCCACAGCTCTTCGCACAAGACTACTGCCCATCAAAAAGTGATGGGACACAAATTATGAGCATCATCCTTTGACCTCTGCAGGAGGTGCTTTTGCAGGCAAGCCTTACTAAGCCTGCCGTTTCCTCTCCTTAACCCCTTCTATCATGTCCACTTAGGAAGAAGACCATCTACAAAACTGTTTGCCTCTCCTTCCTGCTGGTGATCACGGTGACAGTGCTGCAACGGGGAATGGCCCCTAACCAGTTCATGCAGGGCCAGCAGCAGAAGGAGCTCTCTCCTCCAGACCCCTCGAAAACACAGAAGAGAGACAACGCCTTCTCCATCACCAGCACTTTTTGGAAGAGCAAGAAGGAGAAAGCTCCTGTGAAGGAAGAGACTGTGACGGCGAAGCAAGTGAAATCCTGGGACGTCACCACTACCAACTGCTCAGCCAACCAGAACTTCAGCAAGGTGGACTGGTTCAAAGGGCTGGAGCCCAACTTCCAGCAGTTCCTGCTCTATCGGCACTGCCGCTACTTCCCCATGCTGATCAACCACCCTGAGAAATGCAGCGGGGACGTCTACCTGCTCATTGTGGTCAAGTCCATCATCACACAGCACGACCGCCGCGAGGCCATCCGGAGGACCTGGGGCCAGGAGAAGGAGGTGGAGGGCAAGAGAATCAGGACGCTGTTCTTGCTGGGCACAGCTTCCAAGGAGGAAGAGAGAGCCAACTACCAGAAACTGCTGGATTACGAGAACCACATCTATGGGGATATCTTACAGTGGGATTTCCTGGACAGCTTCTTCAACCTCACCCTCAAAGAGGTCCATTTCCTGAAGTGGCTGAACATCTACTGTGACAATGTCCGCTTCATCTTCAAAGGTGACGATGATGTGTTTGTGAGTCCGAGCAACATCCTGGAGTTCCTGGAGGACAAGAAGGAGGGAGAGGACCTCTTCGTGGGGGATGTCCTCTACAAGGCCAAGCCGATTCGGAAGAAGGAGAACAAATACTACATCCCCAGCGCCCTTTACAACAAAAGCAACTACCCACCCTATGCAGGGGGTGGAGGCTTCATCATGGATGGACCCCTGGCCAAGAGGCTGCACAAGACCTCAGAGACGCTGGAGCTATACCCCATCGACGACGTCTTCCTAGGGATGTGCTTGGAGGTCCTTAAAGTGTCACCCATTGGGCACGAGGGCTTCAAAACTTTTGGCATCGTGAAGAACAAGAACAGCAAGATGAACAAGGAGCCGTGTTTTTTCCGGAGTATGTTGGTAGTTCATAAACTGCTGCCTCCAGAGTTGCTCCAAATGTGGGACTTGGTCCATAGTAACTTGACGTGCTCAAGGAAACTCAATGTCCTTTAGCTCAGTCTCTCTGGAGAGCTGGGACTGGAGGGGCCGGGATGACTGACCCCCTGCTCCAGGATGGGGTGAGCCTCTGCAGGTGGCACATGAGTCCTTCAGGGGCCTCTCCCTCCAGGGTGATGAAGGCAGAGACATTGTGCTCGCAGGCAGGGTTTGCAATAGTGTTTATTCCTGTACTGTAATGTGGTTCACTTATCTCCAGCTGGGTTGGGGGTTGCTGAAAAAAAAAAGAGGGAAAAAAAAAAAAAGAAAAAACACAACAAATCTAGCACAAAATTGAGAGAGAAAAAGAGAGAGAGAGCGGGTAGAGGGCTTTGTTCTCTGCTTTAGGTACCACCTCCGCTGGGGCATGACGAGCATTGAGGTGGGGAGAGGAGGGGAAGGATGTGGCACAGACATTGTTGTGAAGGTGTTCAGGGTCTGGCTAACCAGGGAAGCCCCTCCATGGGAGTTGAGCAGTTTACAAGTGTGACATTTCCCCCTCCCAAAATCAAAAGACATGAGGATTTAATCAGTTATCTCAAATCTCTCCTCCATGCTTTAGTGACATTGACCCTGTGCACATCAGGTTCAGCCCCACCAAAGCCCTCTCTGTGTCTCCAGTACACAAGCTGGGAAAAGGGGCTCTCCTCCAAGGCCAGATCTCACCAGCCCCAACCCCCCCACTAGGGTTTCAGCCAGGCGGTCGAGGGACTGGGGTCTTTGTCCGTGGCAGAGGTCCCAGGAGATGGTGGCTCCCGGCACCCGCCAGGGGCCGTCTTCCCCCTGCCTCCACCAGCCTCGCTGTGTGTGCACTCAGAGGAATGCACCCAGACGAAATTCCTCAGGGATTTGTTCCTCCTGGCAGGAAAAGGACAAGGTGGGCTGCCCTTGCCCACGGCCGGTCCCAGCTGGAGCAGCCCAGGGGTTTGTCACACCTGGGACCCCCAGCTCGGTGCAGGTGTCCAGGGGTTTGCTGCAGGGACACCCTCTCCTGGTGGGATTGTCTTGGAGGGAACGACAGCTCCCAAAGACCCCACGCATGGCTTCTTCAGGCTCAGCTCCAGTTTGGCAGCGAGCGTGATGCTCCAAGGGCACGTTGGAGAGCATCGGTACTGCCCTGGCACAGGGCGCAGGTGAGGGTGAAGGAGAGTTGATGTTTCACACCATGCCTGCTCCTCCCAGAGTTGTTGCAGTGTTCATCCCACACGATGAGGCTCAGGAGCACAACAGGGAGTGGTATCACGAGACACGGCCCCTTTATCTTTTGCTGAGAGGGCCATTGGAGCTGTCAAGGTGAGCCCTGAGACAGCTGCCATGATGGAAACCTCCTTCTCGAAACACAGAGAGACACGTGGCCACGCAGGGACCACAGATGCTCTCCAGCCACCGACTGCAGGGGTGGGCAAAGCCGTGGGCATGTGCGAAGCCACATGTGTGCCAGCTGGCGGGCGCAGGCTCTGTGCACACAGATGTCCCCATGTGTGGGGTTTGCACATCCAGATGTCCCCACACACCAGTGGACACCCACGGGCGCAGCCACGGCCCTCACCACGCACCGCGAAACATGGGCGCATGTGCTCGCTCTCTCTCTCTCTCTCTCTCTCTCCCCCTCTCCAGTGCCAGACATTGAAAGGAAAAAAATTTTGACTACCTCAAAGGTCCCCCTGTGCAGTGCCTTTTTTTTTTTTTTTTGTCCTTTCCTTTTCTTAATGTGTTTTGGAAAGGGGCCCATTTGACTTACTCCAAGTCTGTATGTTCCCCAGGTTAGAAAACAAATGAAAAAGGGCATAAACCAGCCAAAAAAAGGCAGCCTCACGCCAAGCCATGCCACTTCTCAGCAAAGGTCCCTCGTCTGCTCAGACAAGGTGCAAATTTGATGAGGAGGAAGAGAAAGAGCCCGTTGCTGCCCTGGGCTCGGCTGTTGGTACAGAGGCTGGCGGCAATACTGTGAAATTTGATTTTTGATGCGCCCAGCGGCACCGTGTCCTGGGGACAAATGCTGGCAGCGCAGGGCAGAGCCCCAAGGGCATTCTCTGTGCCCACTGGGCTTAGACAGCACACATCACTCCTTCGCTTTCCTGTCCCCTTCCACCTTCCAATGGGAGCGAATTCAGAGATACTTTCCCAGTTGACACATCTGTAATTTCTGTCAGGTACAGTACATTAGGCTGTATATTTATCCTATTTGCAGCAACAGCTCTTGCTTTCTGTACCAATCCGTACGGTGAGCCAGGGCTGTGCGCAGAAATCTCTCAGTGTTGCTCTTCACCTGGTGGGACCTGTACAGAGAAACCTTGTAGATCTGGTGAATATTCTAGTTTCTAAATAAAAAAATAAAAGAAGGAGGAGAATAAAAAAAACCAAACCACTCCAAGTCCTCACCTTGTGTCATTGCTAGAGGGTTTCTGCTGGCCAAGGGGATCTGGCTGGTTGGGAATGAAACCTGGTAACAGGCTACAGTGGTGAGAGTGCTGCTTGGGGCAGGGATTTGAGGGCTGTAGCTGCCCCGCTCTGGCTTGGCACAGCTTTCACATGGAGCCTGGCACGATGTTTAACAAGGGCAGGTGGATATTTCCTCTTTTCCATGCACTCACCCAGTTGCATTTCAAACCCAGCTAAACTTCAGATCGTCCTGGCACGCTGCAGTGAGGATCTCCCTACCTTGCCCTCTGAAAAGCCACTGTGGCAGGTTTGGGAACACACCTGTCTTGTCTAACACCTCGTGCTGGAAACAGCCACATCGCTGTCCCTCTCACCCTCCCCCTGAGAGGACCTTCCTTGCTGTTCCCCCCTCCCCAGCCAAGGCATGACCATAGGGTGACACATGCCATGCCACCACGCAATGGCATACGCTCACCATGGGTCAGCAGTGACCCCTAGAGCAGCGCCTCGTAGGACTGCAGGGAGAAACGCAACAGGTTTGAACCTGACTGGGGTAAAGAGGAGGGAAGCCCTTGGGCCTTGCCTGCTGCTGGGGCTAGTTTTTGGGACTGGCAGACGGCTTGACTACTTGACTTGGAGTCAGAATGGTTTTAGTTGGAAAAGACCTTTACAATCATAGAGTCCAACCATCCACCCAGCCCTACTAAGTCAACGGCTAAATCACGACCCTAAGCATGACAGCTACTTGTCTTTTAAGCACCTCCAGGGCTGACGATTCAAGAAGAGACCAACCCCACATGGCTGTAACCTCCTTTCAGGTAGCTGTAGGGAGCCATAAGGTCTCCCCTCAGCCTCCTTCTTCAGGCCAAACAGTGCCAGCTCCCTCAGCCACCCCTCATCAGACTCATCTCCAACAAGAGCTGGTGGTGGGGAGCAGAGAGCCAAAGGGGACCAGGACAAGCTGGACTCTGCA